CTTTCTTTCTTTCTTTCTTTCTTTCTTTCTTTCTTTCTTTCTTTCTTCCTTCCTTCCTTCCTTCCTTCCTTTCTTTCTTTCTTTCTTTTCTTCCTTTCTCTCTCTCTATTTATTTATTTATTTATTTTTGTGAGGCAATTGGGGTTGAATGATTTGGCCAGGGTCACACAGCTAGTAAATGTTAAGTGTCCAGATTTGAACTCGGGTCCTCCTGACTCCAGGACTGGTGTTCTATCCACTTGTTTCTATTTTTATTGAGTATAGTCTGTAAAGGATATGCTTTTAAAAATTATGCCTTTTTATGTTTATTTCTAATTTCTCTACTCCCCAATGCATGGTCAATCTTTAATTGTGGTGACAAGCCATATGTGCCATATGGTGACAAACAACATGTATATTCCTTAGTGATTCCATTCAGAAGGTACCATGAGTCTTTTAGCTCTAAATGTCTCTAACATTTTGTTCAATTCTGTTTTCCTTTTTGTTTGTTTTTTTTTTCTTTTCTTTTTGGCTAGGCAATCAGGGTTAAGTGACTTGCCCAAGGTCACATAGCTAGTTAAGTGTCAAGGGCTGAGGTCAGATTTGAACTCAGGTCCTCCTGGCTCTAAGGCTGGAGCTCCATCCACTGCTGCCCCTGTTTTTTTCTTACTCTTAGATTTGTCTGACTCTGATAAACATTACAATTTTCTACTATTATTATGTAACTATGTCTCTGATCTCTCTACATAAACATGACTCATTTAAAAGAAAACAAAATTTGATAATCATATTAAGTGACTACCAAAGTGACAAAGAAATTGCATAATTTGAAGTAAGATACAAAGCAATATAATACATCTGCCCACTAAATTTTAGCTCATATTTGTCTCATTGCTTAACTCAATTGATCAGAGCAAAACAGAAACTCACCTGGAACTTTGCTTAGGATCATAAGTCTTCTGAGGAACATACATTGCTCAAACATATATTGGTTCACTGCAGCTTTCAGTTTGCTTTATACAAGTCCTTTGGTGCTCCTTGGGGCTATAGAGAGATCCTAAACCAAAAATTCCCTTCAAGTAAACCCACAACTTTTACTTAGCTTCTATTTATTAGAGAGAGGTTTCCTGTCCTATTACCACCACCACCCTCTTTCTCTGTGAGTATTCCTAGCCAGTTATTTCCATTCTGTAACCAGAAGCAATTCTTCCCACAGGTACTGTAACTGGAGAGCAATGCGTGCCTACTTTTGTTATTTGGGAATGAAAAGCAAGGACACCTCCTTTGGTGGTACCATATCTCCTAAACAGCCTCAGTGGAGTGAGGGTAAGCTTGGGCCATGGTTTCCTGTTCCTGATCCTTCAGCAGCAATCAGCACAAGATCTGCAACAGAAGAAGCTGTGGACCAGTTGAGATGGTTTTGCAGAAAGGATTGAGTCATTTGGTATTGGATTACTATATCTGAATGACCTAGATATAATGCATTTCGGCTATCAGGAAGTTCTGGGAGATATTAGACTTTTTTTCTCACGTGGCCCTTAGAGGCAAAGTATTAGACTCTAGTCACTATTACATCTCTGTCTTCTAAGATATAAGTGGATGAGGTGGCCTTCTCTAGTTTAGGAGTGCTTTGTCAAAAAAAAGAAAAAAAAAGGCCTTTACATAAAATTCTTCTAATGGCGATTCATTCCTTTATGTTAATGGATCCTTTTTTTTTAATTTTTAGGAAATATTGTTCATGGCAGTATATACTAATAATTTATCTAAAATTGTCATTTTTCCATTTAAATATGCAATTAAGAAGTTTATGGCATTAAGAAAAAGACTGTAGATACCCCTGCAAAGGTTGACATTCACCTGGCTATACATCATTCCTACTTCAGAGTCAGTTAGCTTAATCATATACTTCCCTCTTAATAATTAGCTTAAATAAATTCACCTAGGAAATAGGAAGGGTTGGCTTTTGGGTTTTTTTGAGGCAACTGGGGTTAAGTGACTTGCCCAGGGTCACACAGCTAATGAGTATCATGTGTCTGAGGTTAGATTTGAACTCAGGTCCTCCTGACTCCAGAGCCAGTGCTCTATTCCCTGTGCCATCTAGCTGCCCCAGAGTTTGATTTTTTTGAGAGAAGAAAAACCTGAGTTCAAATCCCAACTCTGACATACTAGTTCCGTGACAGGGAAGTCATTTAACCTCTCAATGTCCCTAGGCAACTTGGATACAAAATGATTGCTCAATAGCATTGATAAAGAGAGCTTCCTAAACAGAAAGTTTCCCTACTTCAATGAAATCACAGATTTAAACCATTTTTTTTAAAAAGAAAGTTGTGGGGCATCTAGGTGGCACAGTGGATAGAGCACCGACCCTGAGGTCAGGAGGACCTGAGTTCAAATCCAGCCTCAGACCAAACACTTGACACTTACTAGCTGTGTGACCCTGGGCAAGTCACTTAACCCCAATTGCCTAAAAATAAATGAATAAAAATTTTTAAAAAATTAAAAAATAAAAAGAAAGTTGTATGGAGTGAGATTAATGCTTGGTTTTTTGTTTTGTTTTGCTTTGTTTTTGTTTCCCTCCCTCGTTTTTCCATTTGTAGGGGACCATGTCATCCTGAGATTTTCTCTGTTGAAGGGCATTGAGTGGCTGCTGCCTCAGCCCCGGGAAGATGCGGAGAGTCCAGTTATGTTATGTAAGTCTGTTGATGTCAAGTTCACGTAACTAGATGAGCTACTGTAGCCCTGACATGGGAACAGACTTCTAGCCTTTGGACGGCTGTCACACAGAAGACAGATCAGATTGGTTCTACCTGGCCCCAGAGAGGAGAACTAGAAGAAATGGAGAAAAGCTGCACAAAGGCAAATTTTGACTCGATATCAGGAGAAGTTCTGGCCTTCCTCCTTACGCTGGACTCTGGTCATGGTTCCCTTTCTCTGTATCCCTCTCCCGCCTTCCTCACCTTATTCTCATTTACGCACTCTCCACATACTAGCCTTTTCCTCTTGCTTTCAAACTCCTGTGCCTCCAGCTACCTTTCCCCCATCTCCACATCCTGTTGTCTTAGGATCCTCCCTATCCAGAACTTTGGAAGTTCAGTTATTTTCTAAACACAGCCCTCCTTCTCCATGTGGTTTCTAGCATCAGCCTCTTTCTCTTTTTCTCCACTGTCAATTCTTTTCTCAAGCATCTTGCTATTTGACAGCTGTCTCTTTAAAGAGCAGAAAGGGCCACAGTCCGTAAGTGTTTGGAGATGAACTTTCTGACCTTAAAGTCAGTCTTCAAGGCCTGATAACATCACCTGAGACCTAGTATCCAGTCAGCCATTGACCGATGTAAGGTACCTCAAACACCCCCAACAAGATGAATCATCATTAGATCCAATGGATGGCATTCTTTAGTTGGTTCAGTTTTAAGATGTCACACCTCCCTAGGTGTGAGAGCCAGTGAACTGATGCACCATCCAAGAAACCTTAGTACAAGGAAGAGCCATTCAGGAACCTGAAAGTGTTCCTGAGAACAAGAAATTCTCAAGATATGGCCCTGCATAGATATGACCATCCAACTTTATCAGCATTGAGATTTCTATGTCCAAGCATAACCAAGAACCCTGGAATAAATCTTTCCCTTGGCTTTACAAAGAGACTTCCTCTATGTTGGATTCTTGTGCTTATGTTTCTACCTATCTGTACTGTCTAAGCTGGCCCAGGTAGAAGTATGATAAGCCATGATAGACCAGCTGTTTACAATCTCCCGTGAATTATGGCAGCTATGTGTCCGGAATGACATTAACTGTGACCTATAGAATGTGAGACTTCCACCTGTCCATGGACTTGCTTTCACCCCTGGGACAAAGCCCCATCTTGGTGCGGTAGATATGCTCTTAAAAAATGCCGCATCTTCTGCTCTGACCACTCCCACCCACTCAAGGTTGCCAAAACAGCCTACCCATTTCTTGAGGGAATCTTCTGAATCTATAGTCTCCATTCACTCATGGACCAACCACACTTGTGAACTGATGAGCTCCCACTGCCAAGTTATGCAGTCCACCATGCACCTAGAATAATAACACTCTCTTCTATAAAAACTAGTAATTTTTTTTTACCCTTGGGTTTTTCCCACATTTACACTCCAGTTTGCATCTCCTGTAGGAAAGATAATGACTTTGGGAAGCTGTAGGGAGATCTCTAATTTATGATTCAAACAGTTAGGACCTCTTGCAGTTGAAGTCCCGGGGAAGCTGCAGGATCAAGTGTGATTTTTTTTTCTGCCTGGAACTTCCACTCTAGACATCCATTCAGGGAATAAAGGAATTGTAACGCTGGCTTCTTCCAGCTCACCCCGTGGCCTTTCAACTGCAGCTACTTGCTCCATATTAGCATGTATTCCACCAGTCCCTGTTAGGACAAGAATTCTTGGAACTCTGCCTTCACCCACTAGCCTCAAATATGCCACCATTCAAGTGAGTAGATGAGAAAAGGAGTTTCCCGTGATCGCATCCTTGGAATCTCAATACTGGTAGAGATATCTATGGTACCTTGTTGATTGGGAGGTCATCAGAGCAAATTAACCAACCTGGCACTTGTACACACCTGTGGTAGCGACAGCTTCTACCATCAGAAACCCACCAAACCCCAGACCTAAGAAGGAATCCTAAGGAAAAGGTTTGCATATCAACAACCAAAAGCTCTGCCTCTTTAATTTTCAGGAAGGTGAATGGCTGCTATGTGCCAGCCCACCATAAAAGGAATCATGCTAGAAGATAAGCTAAGCATAGGGTATTGTCAATTAAGTCGATAGTCTGGAGTTCCTATCTTTGCTTTTCTGACCCTTAAGTTCATGCTAATGTTCCATTCTCCTCTTAGCCCCTATCCCTGACTACTCTTGTGCATCCTACCTGGTCTAAACTTCCTGATTCATGCCTTTGCTGCCTTCCTTGGCATGAAAACTCCCTCCCTTCAACTCTCTGTTTGGACCCCAGATTGACATATTGACAACCATCTTGTTTGCCTTTACTCCTCAAAAGAAGAGTTGTTACTTACTGCTGGTGGCCTGACCCTTAACCTTTGCCTGGGATAAACCAGTTGACTGGACGGGATGGACATCATCCAATATAACAATCTTAGCATCACAGAATCTCAGAGTTGGAAGGGAGCTCAGAACTCACTAGCCCAACACATAACAGAAGTAGGAATTCCCACTATAGCCTCCTTGGCGAGTGGTCAGCTAGCACATGCTTGAATAGGTATACCAGAGCTCTTCATTAGCCTCCCCACTTTCACCTGGTCCTTGGTTGTGGTGAATGCCACCCACAAGAATATCTTCCATTTCTATTATTTTGAACACGGTAAATACTGATCAAAAGCCTTCCAATTAGTGTACCCATCTTCCTACACATTATGCTTAAGATTTTATCCCTTATGTCTGTTAATGGAGAGTTGCTTTCCAACTTGCTCCTCATTCATCATTGTCCCGTCCATCTCTGCTAATGCAGTAAATTTCAACTGTATGCCTCTCCTCCCTGTTTCATCTGCTGTCCTTGGCCCATATCTTTATTAATGTCTAGAACTCTCCTTTCTGTACTGAAAGGCTATGTCTTTCCCCTCTCTTTAATAATCTATCTAGAGTCACATCTTCTCTAATAAGACAGACGGCATATTGTTTTCCTAGTATGTCCATATATTGATCTCTGTTACTTAGATTGATATAGCTTTTGCTTTTTTAGCATTGATCTTTCTTGCCTAAACTTATTATTTCTAAGAAGACAGTGACTTGGTCTTTCTTGCTTCAACAGCTCTGTAATCTCATCATTGTGGGCATTTCTTCCAACAGTGCAAAGTCACAACACACACACACACACACACACACACACACGCACTCTCTCTCTCTCTCTCTCTCTCTCTCTCTCTCTCTCTCTCTTTCTCTCTCTCTCTCATCCTGTGTGACTCTTGATCATATCCTCTCATACATTATTCCCAAGAGGTTTTGCTCAGTGTTCTAGGGGCCTTATCCTAGGTCTCCTAACATTGTATGAGTGTTAATCACTTTTGCCCCTTATTCTTTCTACATGATTGGTTCACTTCCTTTTACATCTCTTTGATAATATCTTTGATGCTGCTTTTTGCATATATTTGAAGTCAAAACAAGCTGGTAAAACAAATTAGGGAAGCCATAGAGGTTAAGTGCTAGAATATGTAAGAGTCAGGAGACTCTTTGACCCCAGAGTAACATGAAATCTCAGCTCAATCAGGGTAACAATTGTCTTACCCTATGAGTCTCCTCCTAGTGGTCTCTAGTGTTGTATACCCTAGGAACTGAAGGATGTGTTTGGGGCTCCAGCTTTTCCTCATATAACTCCAGATCTGGGGGGGGGTCCCCTGTTTTGCTATTCACAGTCTGTGCCTCACCCTTTCTTCCCTCTCCTTTTCTCTCTTTCTCCCTCACTCTCTTCCTATCTTACCTCCCCCACCCCTTTCCTTTTGCTTTCTCTCGCATTCAGGAGTCGTATCTCCCTACATAAATGCAGGATCATATGGGCTGTCCTGCAGGGGGACTGCCAAGCCTACCTGGGTGGGGCTATCATAGATAGGTAATGTACTGAAAACTATTTATACCATCATTCCAAAGCCCTTTGGGTGATCTGAAATATTTATTCTTCAGAGACTATAGTGTTCTATGCTGTCACCTAAATAACATTACTGGGAAAATATTTGCAATAAAAAGGTAAGTTTTTGTTTCAGGGAGAAGCTTGACATCTTTGAAAATGCTACAGAATTTCCAAAATGCAATCACACTTGCTCCCTTCTTTCCATTTAATTCTGGGTCTAATTTATTATCCATTTATGGTTTCTGTCCTAGACATGTTATACTACTGAATTAGCTCAATGAGCTATCTATCTAACTGCATATTACAGTTTGGACCATGGGGAATTCTTCATCTACTTTCATTTTCCTGTGCAAAGGGTTAAGTAGAATCCTTTGGCAGTTACATGAATCTCATTTAAGAGACTCTGAAATGTTCCAGGGTTGAATACAATTAGCACAGTGGTATCCACAAACTGGAGAATATGGAAGAACCTCATTGTCTGTAGGGAATCTTTCTTCCATAGGAAGTCTATGATGAATATTCTCCATAACAATGGCAAACATTGGTAAGTCTTATCTTCATATTTTACACCTTAATATTAATAATTAGAGATTATAGAACAATCATCTCCATTATTACATCTATCATAAAAATCTTGTATAATCTTTACTTATTCATGGGAGAGACACATCACTGGAGGAGAGGCTTTTAAGCTCCATTTGCTCTACTAATCAAATGCTTTTTTTTAATCATCCAATAATAAGTCCAATGGAATCTTATGGTCTCTGCATCTTTCAGTTAGTTGAATGACTCTAAAGTTATGATCTCCTATTGTTATTGTTCATTCTTTGTTTTGGAAGAGGACCCATTGCATCACGGGTGATGTCTTGACTTAGTTATGAACTACTTGTAACAACTTTCCTCTTCTCATCTCATCTTTTTTTATCAAGAATATTCTCAAAACAAGTATAAATCATTCTCAAAGATTTTGTAGAGATGAGAAAGTAGGTATGGGTTTTGGTGGTAATTGATGTACTCGGGTGGTCGCCATTTTTCTATAGGAATGACATTTGAAATTCTCCCTCCCAATTGTTAGTTTGTCTTGCAGATACCCCAAAAGTTGATCCTCAATGCGCTTAAAATTGTGTTGCCTTCACCAAGCTCTTCCTCTATTTGTGTATTGCTATTGAGGGGAAAAAATTGTTTCTCATAGAAAGAGTGAGACATTTTTGTTCCATTTTCATTCCTTTTATCTTTCTTCCAGTTTTATCCTTAAATACCCTTGGGATTCCAAATAGGCAAATTAATTGATCCCCTCAATTTGGGAATTCCCTTGATAAGCACAGAGTACAGCCCATCCATCCATGCCTGCCATCTGTTATGATTCTTGCCCACTCCCTCCCCTGTTTCCCAAACAATATCCTTTCTCCCAGCCTGCTGGAGGCCTCGCTATTTTCTCCTGACATTGAAAAGGCACCAGTGGAGCAGGATGACTCTCCATCTGAAATCCTGATTTAGGATTGATTTTATAACCCCTGAGGGCTCTTTTTATTTGAGTTTTCCTTTGAAGTTCCTCATTGGCTCTCTATTGCCACCCACTCTTGGGATAATCTGACTTAATTTGCTATCATGCAAACCTTTCTACAATCTCATTTTTTCCCTTCCCAGCTTCTCACTGTTTTGTGAGGATTTGTCTTTGTTTCTTTCTTCTTTCTCTCTCTTTTTTTTTTAGGCAATTGGGGCTAAGTGATTTGCCCAGGGTCACACAGCTAGTTAGTGTCAAGTGTTTGGTCTGAGGCCAGATTTGAACTCAGGTCCTCCTGAGAATGGTGCCCTATCCACTGCACCACCTAGCTGCCCCGATTTGTCTTTGTTTCATAGGTTTAGTTGATATTTCTATAGCTCTTTAAGGTTTGAAAATTGCTTAACGCAGATGACCTTATTTTGATTCTCACAACAAAAATATGAGTTGTAGGTGCTATTATCCTCATTGGATTCATGAGGACTCTGAGGCTAAGGGAGGCTAAATGACTTGCAAAACTATAACACAGCTCAGGCGAGATTATAACCCTGGTTTTCCTGCCTCTAGGTCTGCCACTGCCATCTATGATGCCAAGGCTGTGATGAGCAAATAATTCATCACCCAGTGGCTAGCCTACTGGTGATGAGCCTGGTAATGATGGTTGGATGGGTTGGACCCAAATGGGCTAGTCCTTATTTATGTTTGAATATAATGCTACATCTTGTATAGTCAGTCAAGGCCCCTGAAATTGGTCAACAATATTAGACAAGTGAACGTGCAATGGATAGAGTCCCAGGTCTGGAGTCAGGAAGATTCATCTCCTGAGTTCAAATATGACCTCAAACACATACTAGCTGTGTTACCCAGGACAAGTCACTTCAGCCTGTTTGCCTCAGAGTCCTCAGTTGTAAAATGATATAGAGGAGGAAATGGCACACCACTGTAGTATCTTTGCCAAGAAAATCCCGAATGGGGTGATAGAGAGTCAGGCATGACTGCAAAAATGACTGAACAACAAAATCTGTAAAATTGGGATAATAATACAGTATTTGTACTACCTAATATACAAGGTCGATGTGAGAAAAGCATTTTACAAATATCAAAGTGAGCTATCATTAGTAGCATTCATTTAATAAATCTGGCATTAGATGGGGGTGGGGAGGAGAGAAGTACAAACTAAGATAAAACCTTAGTCAAGACTAATCTGAGGAAGTAATAACCTGATGGGAAGGAAGAAGCCTGAAAGATTCCAAGCTATCTCGTTCCCACCCCTCTCTTTGGTCAACAGGATGCCCCTGCTCAAGTCGTCCCCCTCCCAATTCAAAGTACTTTCTGGAAAAGAATTAATTCTTTGGTGTTCCAATAGAAGACATTTGACTCTATAGAGGAAGATACAGGCAAAGTTTAGACTTAGGGAGTCTGAATTTTAGAGCAGAAGGGTTTTTAGAGATCAATTCATCCAACTCCCTCATTTTATACAGAGGGAGACTAAGATTAAGTGACTTGTCCAAGGTCACACAGTCTTTTACCTGCAAAGCCGGAGCTGGAACCCAAAGTTCCTGTCTCCAAGTTCAATACTCTTTGCATGGTGCCATGTTATTGCAGGAACAGCCAAGTTCTCAGTAATCCCATCCCTCGTCAGCAAACCATCATTATTGGGAAGAGATGCTGCCACCCCTGGAGGAGATACACCAGTCCACTTTCCCCAAATTTGTCCTGGTTTGATGATATGACATCTGGGTACCGAGGAAAGCTCACTCGGACTGAAAAGGACCCATGAGCTGAACTGGGTCCTCTGCCCCCCCCTTCCAACTGCCTTGCTCTACCTCCATGTTCCTAGAGCCTAGTCACTGCTGCTTGGTCCCCCATTCACACCCAAGCTTCCCCCTTGCAGCTTACAGGGAGGATCTGACGTCTGTGTGACTGCTTCTCCAGATTAATCGTGTTGACAAAGGTCCTTCCCAAACCTGATACCCTCAATAATCATTACTTCCTCTCCATGTGCTTGATGGGAACTTCTCTTTGTATTTGTCTTTAGCTTCATCTAGCAGCGTGTCCCAGAAGAGAAAAGGGACAAGCACCTTCCTGTCAATAGGGTAGGCAAAACTGGGGGACCCCCTTTGATTCTGAGTTGCCTTGTCTCTGAACAGAAGAGCATGGGTGGGGATAGGGAAGAATTCTCTTATCCCAGGAAGGGGCCTTGTTTCCCACGGACCTTAGTCTCACAGCTGAAATCCAATTCTTCACGTAGCAAATAGAACACAAAGTCTAGTCCCCAACCACTCCCACTCCATTCTGCCTTGTGAATGAAATGGGATACCTAGAGAGCTGGGAGCCATTTCCAGAGACAGGTCAATTATAGAAGGAAAGGGGCCCCTCTGTGGTAGTCCTTGGCCTGATTACCATCAGGACTGATCTAACCAGGTTCTGAAAAACTAGGCCAAGAGCCAGAGCCCTTCTGTGAGGAGAGAACCCCAAATGTTCTCAATTCGTGTATGATCCTAATACTCTTCATCTCTTGCTTTACACATCACTCAGAGAACCAGTGAAGGAAGAAGAGAATTTTAGCATCAAGCTTGAAAGAGAAGAAAAGAACAAGAAGGGGCTGTTGATGCCTCTGGAAATTCAGGTCGGTCTCTGCTGACCGGGTTCAGCTCTGCCGGAGTCCCAAGCCTAAGGCATAGCTGGGTTTTGGGGAAAAGTCAGGCCCCTGCATCGTTTGAGAACTGCTGCAGTGTACTGAGGAGGCTTGGAGCTGCCGAGCTCTCAATAGTTATTAACTGGACCTAGCACCTGAGAAATAGACCAATACCTTTGGGACTCTGCTCCCTGGAGGGTCAAGGGAGGGCCTGAGCCTGCTGGAGGGGAGCGGTCTAGAAGGTTAGTGCTACAGCCAGGCTGGGTGCCTCACTGGTGCAATTAACTGACTGTTCTTCTGTCTCCCTTCAGACAAAAACTCTCTGACATCTCTCAAGTCAACTCACTAGTCACATCATACACCTGCCAGAGTAAGAACAGTGCTCAGGAGGCACCTAACATGGATGGATTTTTTACAGGTGAGAACTGGGATGCTTTGGCATCAGTAAGAAGGGGCGTCAGGCACCAACCTGGGAATGGCAGGGATGGCTACTTTGAGTGCAAATGGAAAGACATTCCTACATAGAATGATGGGCAGCAGATCTGCTGCTGTGTTTGAGCCTGGGCTTACTACCAGAGCAGGACATTTCCACACTCAGTAATTGTTTCTGAAAGAGTATTCCACTTGAATCAGGAGGCATGGGTTCTAATCTTGGCTCAGCTGCTATATATAACTATATGATTTCTGTCAAGACAACTTAATCTTTCTAAGCCTATTTCTGCATCTGTGAAATGGAAATATCTGGATCATAGTACTTGTATCAAATGAGATAATATTTGGGAAAGTATTTTGAAAAATACGAAATGTTTCCACTTCACAGATGATTCAAATATGAGGCATTATTATACTATGAATGCCATTGGGACAGGCTATCATTCATAAATGTTAATCCTATCTAGATAAATCAATCCTGCCCCCTCTCAAAAAAAAAAGGCATCTCTCCTTCCTCAGAGATCTATTTTATTTTTATTAATTTGTTTTAGTTAAGAAAGAGTGAAGGGATTGATTTTGAAATTTTTACCTCAAGTCCTAGGTTTTAAACTTAGTTCATTACTATTAGTTGTAAGGCACATTCTCAAAGCAAAGAGTCCCACTGTCTGCCCCATAGTTTTTCAGTAAAATAAAGGGCAGATGAGTCCAGATTAATTTCATTCTTGACCCCAGAGAAATAAGAAGGAAATTTATTTCTCTCTTTTCTGCAGACTTTCAGGAAACTACAGGTATGGAATGTTGCATATACTACCAGATATTGTTGCTTTGCCATTTCATTTGAGTTAGAATTTTGCTTTGTCATAAGAGAGAAATCACTGGGTAGGGGTGGAGGAGGGAAAGGGTTTCATAGTGGAAAAAAATTATTAAGATGTTAAAAAGGCAAAAATACAAGTATTAAGAAAAACGACCAAAATGAAGGACAGAGTATTAAGGGGTAAGTTCACACTTGAGATGAGTAGGGTGGCTTATTGTCTCCTTGGGATCTAGAATAAGAGGGAAGAAAGGAAGCACGGGAAGGCAAGCGAGGGGGTTCCATTGATGGCCGCCATTAACTGTGTTACAGTTTTTACAAAGGGAATTGGATTTAGACTCAGAGAATTTAGGTACAAATAGTGACTCTGCTAATTCCTACCTGTGTGACCTTGGGTGTGAGTTTCCTTCTCTGTAAAGAAAAGACGTTGGACTAGAAGACCTCTAAAATAGATTCCAGTGCTAAATTGATGTCTTTTTTTGTTTTTTGGGGGGTTTTTTTACCAGTGTTTTCTTTCTACCTAATATATTCTATAGTCATTTCTCTGTCCATTTTCTTAAGAATGGAGGACATTATAGAAAGAAGGCCTGGTTGTTGATGGTAGAATGGATCAAGTAAAGGATGGCCAGAATGGGAGTAGGGGTAGGTGCTTAAGAGAAAGCAATGCAGCAGGAAAAGGGAGACTCTAAATGGGAAAGCACTGGAAAGAATAGGGTGCAGGTAGTAGAGACCCAGTCATGGAGGCCAGAGTTCAGATATTTGATTTCCTTTGTGATCCTATGTATTTCATTTTATGCATTTAAAAATATTCTGAGAAGAGGTAAATAGGCTTTACCAGACTGCCAAGGGGACCTTAACATTAAAAATAAGGTTACGAACCTCTGTTTTCATTCCTGGAAGAACTAGAGGAGTAGAAGACAGGAGCAATCCTGGAGAAACTATGGTACATGCGATATATTTCAAACAGAGAGTAGATAAAACAAGTTACTGGGACTGGAGTACAACATAGGGGCTTGATTACCAAAGTGAACAAAAAAGAACAGTTCAGGGAAGGGCCATCAGCAAGGCTGATTTGAGGTTGCATCCAGGAACATCATATTCTCCTTGCCTAGGTCTGGAGTTAGGGCTAAATCTACAGGCAGGGATTAAATTTCTCACCCCATCCAGCTCTCCTCTACCCACTGCCCAGTGTAAGAGAAATAGGAAAGGTCCCATCCTTGCTATTGGAGGGGGGGGATGGATTTTGCCATTACCTCTACTTTTTTAAGGATTTTTTTCTTAACAAAATTAATCCTGAGATCCTGAGACCTTTGATATGAGTAAGGAAAATGGACCTCCCCAAGAATCCCACTCCAATGCTGGATCATGACATACAGGTGAAACATGGGTTTTCAAAGGCTATGTAAGTGAAAGGCAAGTTCTATTCAGCTTCAACCATGGGCCCAACAACATATTATATATTTGTTGTCCAAGGACTAGCCTCATTAAAAATAGAATGGTTTGGGGGGCAGCTAGATGGTGCAGTGGATAGAGCACCGGCCATGGATTCAGAAAGACCCAAGTTCAAATTCGGCCTCAGACACTTAACATTTACTAGCTGTGTGACCCTAGGCAAGTCACTTCACCCCATCGCCTCGCAAAAAAAAAAATACAAGAGTTTGTCAATAGTCTGGCCTCTGGATGAAGGCTTTTTTTGCCCAAGGTGACCCATAAAATGGACAAAAATTCACAGTCGTTTCAATTCTGTGTAGCTTCTGCTGTTCTTCCTCCTGTAGAAATCGTATTACACACTGACTTGTATTTTTGCTATAAATGAACCTTAAAGACTTAAATGTAATGATAACTAGCTCACAGCTTTTCCTTGAAGTTGATGGAAATAGTATCATCTCATGCTAAAAGACAAGAAACATCGTTATCAGAGACACTTGATAATCTTGCCTGGCATTGCCTATGATGAGCATAAGCAAAGAGGCTGCTGTAAAGAACAACTATAATTTAAGTACCAACATTCATTGCAAAAGATGCTGTGGAAAAGTCTACAAAGACTTGACAAGATACTCTTAAGTAAGTCAACAATGTGCCATGATATAGTCATTAATTTCAAGGAGAATATGAGCCTAGGGTTGGAAAATACAGTTCTTGATCAAGAAGTGAAAGAAGCCACATGCACAATTATAGCCTGCTCTGGAATGATACTTGAACATTAGCAAAAGAATTAGAAGTCACTTAAAGAACTGAGAAAAAAATTTTTAATGAGATTGGTCCTTTTTGGAGGCAAGAAGTAATTTCATTGGTGGGTTCCTCCCAGAGCCTACATTTTGTTGAGTTGCCCAGGGCAGCTTTCATTCTTCTCTGAGCTTTGCTCCTGACTTTGGGACTTTAAAACCATGCCCTAAAATCATGACCCTGCATCTCCTTTCTGGTCCCTTTTGAGAGATGTCCTCCCGCATTACAAAGTATGCTCCTTGAGGGCAGGGACTGTGTATTTCCAGCACTTAGTACAATGTCTGGCACATAATACTTCATAAATGCTTGCTTCCATTTCAGAAATCCCTTCCATTGATAGACAGGAAACTCATCTACCAATATTGCCATTAAAATGTTAAAGAGTTGTGTGGGGCCCTGAGAAATTGAGTGGATTGGCCAAAGTCCGATAGCTATTCTATGTCAAAGATCTTAAACTCAGTGGAAAAGGCACCTCTGGAGTCAGAGGACTTGGGTTCAAATCCCAACTCTGGTGCTTCTTACCTATGTGACCTTGTATAAATTCTCCCTTGCCTCAGTTTCTTCATCTGTAAGATGACAAGGTTGGACTAAAGGTCCCTAGCCAACCTCTGAGGTCACTTATGCTTCTAGATTTGTGATTCTATAATCCTGTAAGGATTGACTCTCCATTATTCCTTTGCTGCCTCTGAACTACCTCTGAGCAGACAAATAATGGGTTTAAATCAATTCAGAGTTAGCTACAAAGGTGGCAACATTCCAAAGTCATTGAAGGTGATAAGATTCCAAAACAATGAAAAAATTTAGAGAGCTGCCAAAAAAAAAGGGGACCAGGAAGAAAACAATGATCAAATTATATACCTCTACCTTCTAGAAAATCTTTATAATTTAGGGAATTATGTTGTATAATTCTATAAAATCTTTATGAGAAGGATCTATAGTCATCAAATGTATCCTTGGATTAAAAGAAACATAAGAAGTGAAAAGGATGCTTGCTGATGACTTTCTACAGCTCCTACATAGCTTATAGTCACACATCTTCCTGAGAGGATTAAAGAGTATATGATCCCTCTTTGTCTATAGTTTATTTTAAAAATGATTTAGACTACAAAACACAAGCTATGAAGTCTCACTTTTTAAAAGCAAGATGTCTCCTATGCATATGAGAAAATTTTGTATGACGATGGATGAAACTATGAAGATGACTTTGTTCTTTGATGTGAACAGTGAAGGAAGTACCAAGTTGTACAGCATGTGCCCCACCTAAGGTATTTGCCGGTTTCATGAAAAATGCTCCATGCAAAATCTGAACAAAGTAGGATTTCTTATTAATGGTGAATGTCAACAAATGCTGCTATTCTCAGATAACATCATCACACTAATTATATCAAGCTCTTCATAAAATGCCCAGAAATGTGAAATGAACTGACCTATTTGCACTGAAAAAAATGAAAAACCCACATTGCTGAGGTTATGACACACCAGAAAGAGGTTCATGAAGTTAGTCCATTAATAAAAATCTACATATGTGGCTATGTATGTATGTATGTATGTATGTTGGACCAGCACTGCTAGTGGACGCTGAGCTGATTCCAGAATTGTGTAGGAGGAAATCAGAATCCATCACACTTGGGAAACTCTGCAATGCTTTCAGTGATTTCAGATTATCTTTCCTATCTTGACCAAACTTCTAGAGGGTATCTTTAGTGACCTAAGTTGGGAAACAGAGACTGTCACAGAATTGTGGACTCCATAGATGTGGAGGAGACCTCCAAAGTCATTTACTCCAACTCACATTTGAACCAGAACCCCTTCCTACAACAAGCCCAACAAATGGTCATCAAGCAAATCTTACCTGAAGATCCCCAGGGAGGGAGAATCCATCTCAGGTGATAGTTCAAGCCTAAATTTGCCTCTTTTTCACTTTCACTCATTGCTCTTATTTCTGTTCACTGAGGCCAATCAGAATAAAACTAAATCCT